GCAATTCATGACTTTTCAAATTTATTGAATTTGATTATTTGATTATTTTATGATTATTAATATTACATTTCACTTTATTATATTAACTTGTATAAGAATACAAAATAAAAAGAGAGAACTTCAGTTGCACCAAAGCTATAATACACTTCACCTAAACAAAAGATTCCAAATCAAAACTTTTTTGGTCAACCAGTTTGCATGACAGCTATAGACAGGTTCATTTTAAAGTACAAAATGTGTGAAAATAATCATAAATTCAAGATCAATTCATTTTTGCTCGATATGACCACCTTTTGCCTTAACTGTGGCCTTGAGACGGTCAAAAAACGAATCGCAAGCTGCCCGAATGTGACTTGCTGGTATTTTGACCCACTCACGGACAATGACTTTTTTCAGCATCTCGAGACTGGTGTATTTTTTACTTCGGACCATGCTCTCCAAAATGGCCCAGAGAAAATAATCCATTGGATTGGTCGTAATGAAGTTCGGAACGTTGGCTTTCAGCCATTCTTAGTTCACTCGCACTTTGTGAGACGGTGCAGAGTCTTGTTGAAACGTCCATGGCTTGCGACCGAAATATTTGTTTGCCCACGGCTTCACAGCAGCCTAAAGAACACTTTCCCGATAATATGTCGCATTTACTTTGACGCCAGGCTCGATGAAAACAATTGGAGCGCGCCTATCTGCGGTGACAGCGGCCCAAACCATAATTTGTGGCGGATGCTGCCTGCTGGTGGCCAACCGATGTCTTAGATTCTCGTATGAATGGTCGGTCAAGTAAACCCTATCGTTTTGAGAGCTTACGAATTGCTCAATTAGAAAATTTTTTCGTCAACAACAACATTCACAATGTTCGGAATTTGACCGCTTTCGGCCAAGCGAAGCAACTCGCTCTCTCAAGTCTTACTTGTTGCTGCTTCGGTGTGACATCATGGGCCTTTTGGAACTTGTAAGGCTTGACCGTGAGCTCATTTTTCAATATACGTCGGATGATTTGATTGGCACTTCGTAGTGGATTTCGCTCAAATCGCTTCTTCACCTTCTGAACCATCCCACCTCATCAATTCCATCGTTGATCACTTTTTTGCGTCCACTTTTGGCAAAACGCTTTTGTACACTTGTGAACAGAACTCCGAACTGTCACTAAGCAAATTTATAAACAGCTGATTCCAGTGCGACAGCTGCGCGAACGTTGTCTGAAGTTGGTTACACTTCGAGTGCGCTATATGTTATAAATGTGTGTTCTGCATAATTTCGTCGTCCCATTACTTTGGATAATAATCATTGCAAAATTTTATGAAGATGTACGATAACTATGTGCTATAATGATCCGACATGGGAGCTTTCGACAAATGAGCGGCTTTTTGTGGAGAAAAGAACGTGTATAAAATTTTGGATCGATAACTCTAAAACTGAAAGACTAATTCGCTTATACACAGGGCGACGAACATAGCTAAATAGAGGCAGCTTGTTTTCAAGGGCTCCGCCGTTTCCTTTTCGGTGTTGCAAACTTCGTGCCAAATTTAAGGGTATCTGTTCGGGGTATAATACAAAATAACAGACTCTATTCAGACTCTTTAACTGTACAAAAAAATTATACTCTTTGTTGCTAGTTTCCAGATTGTAAATTAATTCATAAAAGTAGGGATTGTGATCTTGGTTTTAAGATTATTGAACAAATATGTTATATTATATTTAGTCAATTATCGGTTTGTTAGTGGAAAAATTTATTTTTCCTGTCATGATTAGGGGTCTGGCAGACTTTTCCCCGTATACGAGCATCATGTAAAAGATTCTCGGGCTTCTTACCGAAAAATGCAAAAATAGGAAAATAAAGACCACAAAATGTACTGATTTACTCAATGAAAATCTTGCTGTCATTTCAAAATTCGTATCGAGTACTTAGAGAAAATGATGCCGACAAATTCCCAGAAATCAGTACAGTACCAATGAAAGTGAATGGGGAAACATCTACGACAAAATTATTTTATTGTGCAAAATATGCTGACTTCCAGATTCGACAAGCAAATATGAGTACCAAGTGAGGCAATCTTCCCAATCATCTGTAAAATTTTCGGATAATCTTCGAAAACACATTAAGGAACAGAGAACGTGGTTTCATAGAATCGAAAAATAATGAAACACGAGAGCAGATCGCTGCTGGTTCTTAAAAAAGATTGTCAACTAGAAATCGTAAAAGCAAAAACTCATAGAAGACCTTTTTCCCTCTGTTTACTTTGATAAATAGTTATTTAAAAAAAAAAAAAGAAAATAAAAACAAATTGACTTTATAAATAAATACAGATGTACATACATATGTATGTAAGTTATTATGTTTCTTGTTTCCTGATTTTTGCATTATAATATGGAAACAAATATTAAATGCGAGTAAATCTTCTACAATCAGGTTGTATATTCACGAATTCTGGGCATAAATGTATTCAAAATCGACCTTATATTTAGGAAATCCACAATTAGTTTAACGGGACAGAAAATGTGTTTAGTAAGTAAATATAGAAGATAAACATTTAGCCATACAACAAAGCTTTTATGAATCTTACTTCTGAGGCCTTGTATCCGTTGAAACAAAAAGCGAACAAGTAGAAGTCGTTGGGACCAAATCTGCAGAGTATGGCTGATGCATAAGCCATTCATGCAAATTTTTATCGTTTTACTGATTCGTAAAACAGTTCGGTTGTGATGGAACACATATTATATTATACAGAGTTTATATATACTCAAGTATTCATGAGCTACTAAGTGAAGGTTAGACTGTGCAAAAACACAACAACAGCGAATATTCGAAAGTTCATTGGAAAGTAGTAGCTTTGCGTTGCTTCTCACAACTTGGTATTACATCAATCGAAATCAAAATATCAAGATTTATATTATATCTTAGTTTCTTTAGGTAATACCAAGAGAGTTACAATTTTTAGAAAACTGTGAAGGATAAAACTTGATCTTGATGAGTAAAAACCCTCCACATTATATAATCTTTTACATAAAATTGTACTTTCCTTACCACTTATGCTCAGTTCGCATCGTCAAAGTCAGTGACGCAAAATGGAGAAAAGTATTTCAAATAGCAAGAAGCTGCCAATTTCAAATATGGTGACATTCTCCTCCACTTGACTGGCATCACAGGATTTCACATACTTGCCAAATTGGCTATCATACTACTACTACTACGGCGACAATCATTTTCACTGACTTTGACATAATGAAAACCGTTATATATTATATGTATATAACATACATAACTTTCTTTTGGCATACAATGTAAGCAACAGCAGATCGCTTGGCCGGGGAGATGAATACAAAACATATTAGATGATATTAAAGTGTGCTCTACGAGTATATCGAGAAAAAACAGAGCAACTTTTAATTTAATGGAGCATGTTTATTATCATTCGTTATTTATTTTTTGAAATAGAGTTGAACGTTTTATAATCGTTATTCAGCCGCAAGTCTTTCCATGATGAAATGCCAAAAAAATACTGAATATAAATAACAAAACAGCTTGACACGCTCTGTCAAAACAAAAAACACAAAAACAGCACAAAAAAAAAAAAAAAAAAAAAAAAAAATCATATCATTCGTATGTTACTCCAGTTAAAGGTAAAGTTACGATTTGAATTATATGAGAGAGGATCATGAAAGCTGATGGTTAAATGTCTGCTAGTTCTTGGAAAACCAGTGAACCATATCTAAAAAGAGTCGATAATGATCTAAAAACTAATAATGAATATTTACATACATGTATGCTACATATGCTATCATCTTTCAATGATAACGATATTACTGAATATCATATTGCTTCCGCCGGTAGAATTTTCATTTCAGCAAATACCGGAAAAATTGTTTTCTATTTGATTTGTTACATATGTATGTAGATACACCTATACCTATATACAGTAGATTTATGCCCACATGTTATTTGTATCTGAGGTATAAATATGTAGACATGACTTGTAAGTTTAAATATAACTCTATGCTAGTGACTTGCATTACTCATGTCCGTAAAGTTTTAGTGGAAACTTCAAAAAAGAGGGTGCATTATTTTAAGTCTACATGCAAATAATGAATAATTTTGTGGTGAAGGAACTACATTTTTAGATGCATTCCTTCAGTACATTCCAATATAAATACCAAATTAATAAAAAATCCATTGCCGATTGATAGCTTATATCGTTCATAATACTGCCAAAAGTCGAGCAAAGAACTCACATTGATCCTGCCATACAAACTGATCGATCGAAATCAAAATAAAGATCTCCGGTGAAGCAAATAATAGTTTTGTTTCAGCCGAAGCTAACATGTTTGTCTAAAAAATTAAAAACTTTTAATGTTTTTCTGCAAAATATAATATAACTTAAAATAATTATTGAAAAAATAAAAAAAAAAATATTAAAAGGACACCCCTAATACAACCTATGTACGTCTACTTAGTACATTACATGCTTCTGCTCTTCGATTTACAACCTGCGCATGCTGCAGAGTTATGATTTAGACCAAGTGACTTAAGCTTCCTGGCACACTTGGCAAGCTTGTCACCGCTTGTTCCGCTGAATGCTTTTCAAATGCAATACTTTGCTTTGGGGCTATAAAGTTGCCATAATGAGCTCAATAACTCACTGCAAAATGAGGCACATACACCATTACGCAGATGTAAGAGCACAAACTTATGTATATAATCCAACAATAACAAATACACATTTTACTGTTATTGTTATCCTTTCGAATGTGGAGCAAATAGCACTTTCTACACACTGCTGCCACCATCTCATCCCACTTGCATTGCGGTTTTTAGGAGTGTGTACGTGAAACATTGTACTTTAAGTTTAAGTTTTTGCTCTTCCTATTATTTTATGGATTTTTTTTTGCTTTTGATTTATCTGCAACTTGGCTGTCTACTTTTAAATATTTTATGTTTTATTAAACTCTTGTTGAATTGGTTATTTATGTCTTACTCTTTACTTTGCTTTGCTCTTTGCAGTGCACTCCACAGTTAAAGCACTAAAATGGTGATAAGCAATCCGGATGCAATGGCCGCCGCCGCCACCACGAACAATACAGCTGGCGATGCGGTTGATTTGGCACATCCATCGGGTATTCCACGTGATAGAATCGATAATATAATGAGCGGTATCTCAAATACGGGCGATGTCAAAATGAATAACCACCGAAAAAAGCTGCGTCAGAGGTGAGTTCGATGCTGATAAGAACTTTTGGCATTTTGAGTAGCTTTTCATGTGTTTATATAACGTCTAATGAACCTTGTTATTTCACTGTTCTTGCCTTTAGGTTTGATATTATTAAAAAGTTAGGCCAGGGCACATATGGCAAAGTGCAATTAGGTATAAATAAAGAAACCGGCCAGGAGGTGGCTATAAAAACTATAAAAAAGTGCAAAATAGAAGCTGAGGCGGATTTGGTGCGCATTCGTCGTGAGGTGCAAATTATGAGCTCGGTGCAGCATCCCAATATCATACACATATACGAAGGTAAGCGAAGCCTTTATTTCATATTTAATACATACAATGTTTTTTTTTTTATATTAAACTAAGTAAGGAAGTGCTAAGTTCACAAGACCATATACGTCCGCGATTTTTAAAAGTTGCGTGGTCAAATATCTAAGCATCAGTATGACTTTATAAGGGGAAGGTCATTCAATTCATATAAAATTTAAGTATGCTGAAGAAAACATTTTTTAATGTTACTTCAGACTGCACAGATTGAAATCTATAATAAAAATATGTAGTATATGGAGACTATGGTGACTATAGTATTTCATATACTTTCATTTAATTTCACACGATACTACAGTATGTCGGAGTGAATAACTTACGGACCGGTATATATCAAGATCAAAAATGATGCTTACTAGACCATTTAACTGTGCGCGAAAACCGAATCGAAAAATGTTATGGAAACGGTGCTTAAAATGTTGACATATCGCTGATCTGGGGAATATGTTTCTGGGCGATAATTCTCTTCTGCTTATAAATCCGGTTCGATGTACGACGAATTGCTTCACGAAGATGTTTCAAGTAGTATTGCTTATTGAGTGTTTAACCTTGCGGAACGCGTGAAAAACATCATAGTAATCAATGAATGAGTCTGATTTGAATATCTGTCCAAAATTAAAGAATTTTTAATAGTTTTAGTGAAAAGTAGGCGCATACCTATTTGTCGATTTTCACCGTAACATAAATATGGGATGAAAACAGTAGGTGCCAAATTTGGTTCAAATTGGTCCAATAATTATGTATTTAGGTAGGTAGTTTCACCTAAAAGTTGGCGATATTAAGCCCCAGGCCATTATTGGTAGATGACAATGCTAGTAGCTTTGGTCCTGTCGAAAAGCTTTTGCAACAGTCAATCAAACAAGGCTACTAGAAGATATTGAACAACCTACGCTCTATCCAGAACTAAAAAGATGGATCATGAGACATCTGAGCAGTCTGTAACATACGTAATATTTCAAGCTCAAAACTCTTTGTTAAGAAGAATTAAGCGGGGAGTGCCGCAGTTTGGTTATTATTGTTGTAGCGGCACAAAACATTACTGAAGCAATTTCGAGGAATGGTGCCGAGTCGCCAAATAAAAGTCTGGGTCCGTTCTGGTTTCTTAGACCCGACTCTAGATGTACTCTCATCTTACTGTTTAACTTTTCTGTCTCAAAACTACTGAAATCACCAGATGGAGCTCTCCACCACCTCATATTGAGATGATTATAAGGTATTGACGTCAGGCAATGGAATTTTTGGCATATGTTCAAAAGTAAATAATTATCTTACCGATCTTTCACACTCTTTCCCCACTAAATCCACAGCGCCCATATTTCAAGAACTGGACAAAAGTGCACAGACCGTCATCTTAACAAAACAAGCGATGACGTTAAAATTCTGGCCATCATTAGTCTCAAGAGTGTAGGTGTTACACTTACACTTGAACTTTGCTGTTTTTCGTCAGTCCGCATAGAACGCGATTATTGCCAAAATACTGCGTCGCTAATCGGTAGTACCTGGGAAAAAGACAAAGACACATTGTTGCCAAAATGCAAGGCAATTGGAAGACAGATCCTCAATTGCATATAAGAGCTTAAGTTGCTCTGAGAATCTATTGTGAAACTCGCGCAACTTTATTCTGGATATTGTAGCAGGTTAAACTACTACCTATCCATAATTGACCCCGACATTCCAAATATATGTCCTATGTGGAATGAGTACCCGCATGACATTTATCTTTGCATACCTAATGAACCCAACTCATTGAACACTGCTCTCCTTATGATTCGAACCTGAACAGATCGAACAGATCGTTTCATTGCGCTTCCGTTAGATGGCTTCGACGACAACCAATCTCTACCACCCCAGCGGGAATTGAGTAACCGTTACAAAAATAACAACTACTGCCCTGAATAACGAGACTCGTCACATCTCCATTGGCTTCATTCTGTATTTATCTTTAAATATACATATATTATGTTTTAACAGAATTTGGTAAGCACGTTTCACCAATATATTTGGCCACCGTCCGAACTTAGCTTTTATTTACTTCTTTTATGAATAAGATATTTTTACTAGATGTTTCTTTGTAGTCCGTTAACCGATAGGAATTTAAATATCTACGTATTTCTTTTATCTTGCAGTATTCGAGAATCGTGAGAAGATGGTGTTAGTTATGGAATTCGCCGCAGGCGGTGAACTGTATGATTATCTCTCGGAACGTAAGGTGCTAACTGAAGAAGAGGCGCGTCGCATATTCCGCCAGGTGGCTACGGCTGTTTACTACTGTCATAAGCACAAAATTTGTCATCGTGATTTGAAGCTGGAAAATATACTACTTGATGAGCATGGCAATGCAAAGGTTAGCGAGCGCAACTTAACCTTACATTTACATATTTCCATTACATTTCATTTATATTTTCAGATCGCCGATTTTGGTCTATCGAATGTGTTCGATGAACAAAACTTACTATCCACATTTTGCGGTTCGCCGCTTTACGCCTCCCCCGAAATTGTTGAAGGTACTCCCTACCAAGGTCCAGAAGTCGACTGCTGGTCCCTTGGTGTGCTCCTCTACACTCTAGTCTATGGATCGATGCCATTTGATGGTTCCAATTTTAAAAGACTTGTTAAGCAAATCAGTCAAGGTGATTACTATGAGCCAAAGAAACCATCGCGTGCCTCAACGCTCATACGTGACATGTTGACGGTGAGTCCACGCAAACGTGCCACGATTGAACAGATCTGCGCCCATTGGTGGGTCAATGAAAATGATAATGTCTCATGCTTGGACTTGGCTGAAGAGCTAGCGACACAAACACCGGTGCGTTTGGATGTCTTGTTGTCGTTGACGCCGGCCGCTGTGACGGCCGATCAATTGGTTGTGCCATCCGCTGATGCGGGTAAAGGAGACCGCGTGCCACGAAGCCATTCGGTGGGATCGATACGTGATATGGGCGGCAACACGGAAGCTGAACGCAGAATATTGGACATGGTGGCTGGTAGGTTGATACAAAACGATTTTATGTAAACATAAATGCAATTTAGGGAATTCAGCAGAGCTTGTAAAACGTAAATAGATGTTTTTGTTTGGATACATAATCTAGATTGGCGTCTTTTACAAGCTCAGCACTCGAATATTTCTTTAAAGTTTCCACATTTTGCATACATCTACTTGTATGTGTGTATGTATTTAGTAGCTGCAGTTGTCCCATTGTCTGTAAATAGCTGATAACTGTCTTTTCCTATCCTTCATGTGTCTCAACTATACTCTTCACTTTCATTTCTGCGCTCCTCCGAACCAAACTTATTCATATATACTGTATATTACTAAAAACACAATTTCTTACATTGAACTCTGCCCATGTACACATTCAAGTGGACTAAACTTGTGTTTCCATCATGTAATAACCCATAATTCATCGCATCTCATTTTCTCTCTCTTTTTCCACATATCTCTCTACCACTCTAGCTGGCGGCGAAGCAGCACTCATGCCATCACCAACACGCACAATCACACCCACGCAGAGCCCAGTGCAGAGTAAACGCAAACTAGAGACCACAGTCTCTACAGAGAACGCACATGGTGCGGCGCTCAAGAAGAAGGATAAACTCGGCAGCAGCTCAATGGTACTCGGAGACTCTAACCTGCCACGACCACAAGAAATACCCATGGAGACGGAGGAGGACGAAGCGGCAGAGCAGGAAATTGACGACGAACCATCGGGAACAGGCAATACGATTCCATCGAGCAGCTTCTCCCAAAGAGATATGGAAATGGTGGGTGATCTATGTGAACAACTGATTACGGAAGAGCCAAAGTCGGCGATCGCTACACCACTGACAGAAAGTAGCGCGCCTGTAACACCTACACATGGTGGGGTGCCGCGCCAAAAGACGATCAGCAAGCTAGAATCGTTGGAGGAGGCGCCTGAAGAAAAGGACGCCACCAAAGTTATTAAGAAATTCGTCAATAAGCACAAAACTGCTGATTTGGTGAATGCCATCGGTCAGATAACACCCACGGCTGAGAAAACCAGCGAACAGTCTACGCCCGCATCAGCTACAACAACAACCAATAATGCCAAAAGTGCAATCGCCAAACCAACAGCTGGTGCGGCAGCCGCCAATAACGTCACACCAGCGCCCTTCGTGCGCAAATGCAGTTTGCAAGATGAAGGTTCCTTGAGTAAGTTCAATGCCGACCGGCGAAAGTCACGTGTGCTCGAAACCACCGAAAAGTTACAGCAAATGAACACCGGAAACGCTACCGGTGGCGGCAGTGAGAAACCCAAAAAGTTCAGCATACCCGGCGTGAGCGTCGGCAGCTTCAAGAAAGAATTCGAACGTAAAGCCACAAATCCGCCAGTACAACAAGGTCCTACACCAGGTGAGTTACGCGCAATGGAAGAGGTGGCGGCTGCGGCTGCTGCCGCCCAAGAATTGGAGGCCGAAGATCAATCACCAACAGCTGACAGCGCGCAACAACCCACAACACCCGTGCCAACAGATCATATTGAGTCTAGCGATTCGAAAAACTCCGTTGCATCCTTGTCACTAGAAGACGCGCGTCGCTCCATGGAGAACTCAATTGCATTGCTGCGTCAGGCGCAAAGTGAATCCTCAAAAGAAGTGGATCAGCTGTGCGCACAAACAGAGAACATCGAAGTCAGCGAAGCCAGCAGCCCAATAGTGGCGGCCGAACGCGAGCGGAAGTTGAAGAATGCGCGCGCCATTATCGGAAATGCCATCCAGCCAGGTAAGTGCGAAGCGGACACTCCTAAAGCCTTCGTAGTAATTCAAACAATAACAAGTAATGCTAATGCCGGAATGTGTTAAACCAAACAATTGAAAAACGTTATGCAGTAGTACTCTACTTCACATGCTTGCCAGTAATGTGCTTTGAATAACTATATGGGAGTTCTAACCAAAATTGTCCAAAAGTTTATAACAAGTTCTCTAAGTTTACAAGATAAACTTAAATTGTTTTGCATGCAGTCGCAACTTTTGTAAAGCGAACGGTTTACACCGTGAACCGTTAGATAACAGCAACAGCATTCTTGATTTAGTGTGTCTTTATTTAATTGAGGAGCGCGAGTTGGACTGCTTTACTTAAAAATTCCTTAGACTGTCCTTCCGCTTACCTCGCTGTTAATTTCACTTATTACAATTCTAATTAAATATAGCTGTGCTCTCTTCTCTTGCTAAAACTTAACCTTTTGGAAGAGGAATTGAGAGATGCATATACTATAAACTGTATCCCGATTTAGGAATTTAAAAACTCTTAAGAGGTCAGCCCAGTCTAGAGCTCATAAGATGTGGCTTGGATTTGTTTCTGGGTATTATTAATACACCCTGTATAAGGGATGCTATTTCAAGCTCCTTGCATACAGCAGCAAACGAAACCATTAATTTTCGCAAAAGGCAGAAGAACAGCTGGTACGATGAGAAGTACCGTGTCGCAGTGAAGAATACTGCTTACCTCGCAACGTTACAATAGAATATGGGCAGACGAAAGCATGCACGCCAATGGGAATTTATGTGTGCTCTGTCCAGTCCACAAAAAGGAAGACTCCACAATCTGTGCCAATTACTGCGGGATAAGTCTGCTAAACAGCGCGTATTATTTTTTATCGAGCATACTATGTCAAAGATTAAAGTCCACGGTCAAGAAACTGTTTGAGCCTTATCAGTTTGGCTTCAGATCTGGAACTTTGGCAATTGACCAGATATTTACCATGCGCAAATCTTGGAAAGAGACACACACCACACAGGCGACTCCGTATCGTGCGGCTTCTTGAATCTACTGCTAGAGAATATAATTCGAGGTGCCGAACTTAATCGACCAGATACAAACCTCTGTAAGGGTATACAGCTGCTGGCGTATGCCGTGATATTGATATCATTGGCCTCAACAACCATGCCGTTAGTTGTGCTTTCTCCTGATTGGACAGAGAAGCGAAGCGTATGGGTTTGGTAATGATCGATGCCAATCTCCTGTCATCAAAGAAACAGTCGGCGCATTCGCGACTTGGCTCCCACGTCACTGTTGACTGTCATAACTTCGAAGTCGTAGATTTTTTCGTCTACCTTGGAACCAGTATTAACAGTTAATCTCGAAGTCCAACGCAGAATTAGTCTTCCCTACAGGTGCTACTTCGAACTGAGTAGGTGATTGAGAGTTAAAGTGCTCTCTTGACGAGCAACGACTCAGTACCATCGTCCACCATCGTCTATTACGAGTTTTCGAAAGAAATGTTCTGCGGAAGGTTTACGGTCCTTTGCGCGTTGGCCGTGGCAAATATCGCATTCGATAGAACGATGAGCTGTATGAGATATACGACGACATTGACATACTTCAGCGAATTCAGATTTCAGAGAGAGCCGCTAAGCTGCCTAGATCATGTCGGTAGAAGAAGCTATGGGTAAAGTTACCATTACAATTTTGGGGGGATACGTCCGATACTCCGACGCATTTGAAAGTTGTATGTATATGGATAGGGATTTTTTTCTATTCTGTCATTTGATGGCTCTAAAAGGTGTTTTAAGACATAAAAATTCGATTTCCACATTCTAGACTGGCCTCACCTCGTTAGAGTAAAATGAAGAAACGAACGACAATTTGATTTTGCCTTAGAACTCCTATATTTTCTTTCACCGCACGGCATTTCATACTTACCGAAGACTTGGTATTAAAATACTAAAAATAATAGGTATTTTTCAAAATTTATAAAAAATCCACATGCAATATTTTGGCCCATCAATCATACAAATTCGTCTGCTTCGACATAAAAAAAAAAATACTTTTAGTACATTCATTTTGCGTTCGTTTATCACTGTTAAGTACTTCCATACATTCCACAAACACATACACTTACTACATATAATTTCAAAACGACAGTCGCACACTCACACTCACTCAAACCGACACACACACACACACTCACACGTACGTTCATTTGCATCATCTCATCATTGGTTCATCTATTTTAGTTATACGCAGGCCACCATCACAACCATCCTTTGGCAACGGCGGCGGGGGCTACGGTCAAATGCGTGCAGCCAGTGGCGGTTTTATTGGTTTTGGCAGCAGTGGCAGCGGCAGCATGAACGGCATGGGTGGCGACAGCGGCTGTGGCTTCATGGGCGGCTACGCTCCATTTGGCAGCGGCAGCGCCGGTGGCTTTGGCTGCGGCGTCGTTGGCATCGGCAACAACAATGTGGTTGGCAGCCATGCACCACCGCCGCACATGTTCGCGTACAATATGAGCGCCGCTCCTCAGACACCGCCGCCTCTGTTGACATCGAATGCAAATGCAAATGCGAAGGCAAATTCAAAATCGAACGCGAATGTGAATGCAAACGTTGCCCTCGCCGCTGCACGGCAGCACATTATGGGTCGTTTGGCAGCTACGGCTACGGCTGGTGGTCAGAATGAGTTCCAAAGCGAGTTTTCACCGTCCAATTATTTCATACAGTCACCTCCCTCCACTCCCTCTCCCCTGTATAATAGCAGTAATGCGAATATCCAACCACACCTTCATCACCAACAATCACAAGAACATCAACACTATTCACAACAACAACAACAACAAAAACAACTGAGACAAGCACAAGCACAGCCCAGTCAATATCAAGCTACTAATTCTTTGCCACAATCAACACAAAATCAACTCTTGCAATTCCAACAAAGACTACAACAATTACAACAACAAAGACAGAGACATCATCAAACGCTAATAGAGCAGCAAAAAGAATTTGAATTAGAACAGCAGCAACAGCAACAGCAACAACAACAACAACAACAACAAAAATACCAAAAACAAGCATTTCCCCAACCATTATTGCAACAATATCAAAATAAACAAGCTCACAGCATGTCAATGCCACACACACTAGCCGCATCTGCCACTGCCACTGCCGCCAACGTCAAAAATACCGCCATTTCCTCCACCGCCGCCACCGCGAATAGTGTGCCAAAACCGTTTTATAATGCACCACCTCCTTCGATATTCTACAAATGTAAGTTTAGTTGTCGTTCGTTCGCCCGTTCGTTCGTTTCTTAGTTCGTTAGCTGGTTCGCTCGTTCTTTCTTATACTCTTTTGTTTTTTTTTTTTCGTTTCTTTCTGCTCTTTTCTTATTTAAGCCTTTTTGTTGTTGTTATTTCCTTTTCGAAATTTATGATTTCCAAAATTGTAGATTTATTTGAAATATATATATTGTTTTTGTTGTTTTTCCGTTTGTTGCTTCTTTTTGTTTAACCATAAATACACATATAAACACAGGGTTTTCCAATAAGAGTGCCATGATTTCTTTTCAAAAAAATACAGTAATTATTAAGGAAACTCAAAGGCTTTTTTAATAAAACAAAAACGGTTTGGGACCTCGATGAAGTTCTTTATCTCGATTTCTTTTGCATGTCCACTAAGGACTCGCTTGAAGAAGTGGACCCAATTTTCGACGGTTTTCAAGTATGTAAATCGGCCGATACTGCTGAAATTCCACTTTCGATATTCGTACGGCGTTCATAAGTCGTCGCTGGCTTGTTGGCATAGACCATAGACCATAGAAGTAGCGCAACAGGGAACAGACCAATGCGTCAAATCGCACGACCTTGCCGACCAATTTACTGGGCCATTTCGTGAGTTAATGCATTCACCAAACTTGATTTTCAATAAATCGATTGTGATATTCACTGTGTGAAAACACATATTGTTCAAGTCCATATCATCCAATTCGGTCAAGAAATAATATTTTATCATTGAGCGGCCATTCCCATTGATCATTCAGCCAAAAATGAGCCTCACTGTTGAAGATGATTTCAATGAAAATCCTGATCCGTTTGAAGTTGAACATATGTACGACGGTTCTGGTAGGCAAGCGGCTTCAGTTCTGACGCCAATTTGACCTTGTTAGGATAAAGGCTAAGATCTTTTCGCAAAATTCGCCATAACGCCGTCACATATATGCCCAACGCTTGAGCACAACGTGCTAGAGACTGATTTGGGTCTTCCTCAATTAAGGCGCCATCGGCAGCAAATTTCTTAACACTACGGCCTCTTCTTAGTCTCACTGACACGGGAACATTTTGTGCTGTGACTGTGGATTAAATTTTTCCACTAGGCGCTAAAATGTTGATCTGACAAAACGATTATGACGACAATAAATTGGAAGTAGCGTTCTTAAAGTTGAGGCCACAGACTCAGAATTTCGGCAGTAAATTTTAATAATTTTGATTCGTTGTTGGGGCGTATATCCTTCTATGATCAAATGGCAAGCCTTACTGAAGAGAAATGTCAAAGGAGTCCCTACCGATCTACTTTTGTAGCGTCCTTATAAAAAAAATCTGTATATCATCATTTAATTGGCCTCGATGACTTCTTTTGCGGCAACGAAATCGATGAATCCATTTTTCGAGTAGTTTTTCCCCTAAACCAAGGCGAATGTCAAGAATATTATGTTCAATATTGACTTCGAAATCTTGAAGAGGATCTGGTTAATTGCTAAATTCCGATGACTTCAGATAACCCCACAAGAAGTAGTCAAATCATAACGTGTTGGAGGTCATTCAATGTCACAGTTTCTTCAAAAATCTAATCTCCAAACTTTTCTCGAAGTAATTCGGTTGTTGCAAGTGGTATGTGGCACATAGCCCCGTCCAATTGCGGCCATAAAAGGTTGGATTTCGTCGAAATAAAATCAGCAAATTCACAACTTTTACGGTGGCCGCATGGTGTCAGTTCTTGAGTGAGAACAATTTTATATGTGGTTATATTGTTGTTGGAGATAGTACCAATTCTTGAGAACATCTTGGAATTGATAAATTACGGTCTTCAGCAACATTTGCCTGAACGACAACAATATTTTCATTACTTAGAGCGGTACTTTGTCTTATATAATAGGCACAGAAAATATATGCTCGAAATTTTCAGCAATTCGTCGAATAGCAAGCATTGGAGGACGAGTATTACGACCATAAAATAGCAAAAGCGCACGAAAACTTGCAATTGGAGAATGTTTATTTTGATAATAACATTGAATAATTTGTAAACATTGATTTTTCCAAAATGATATTGCAAACATTACTGAATAAAAATAACGGAAATTACAGATCATGATATATAATATTAAAAATGGCCGAAATGAGACTCTGAAATCATATCATCCTTATTGGAAACCCCGATACATCTCGCAATGCAAAGCTTCTCAAAAAACACCCAGGTTTTTTTTTTTAATACATACAGATGGTATATAAAACGAGGGGTTGTTTAGTATTGCTCTCCTATTTCGGTTTGCTCTTCGTAGAAAATTGGCGCTATCCATATTACATAATCCATAGATCCTTAGAAATTATTTGAATATCCTTGGAGTAGTATTTTCCCTTATTTGTGCGTTTATATTTTTATGCTGCTATTGTGGGTGTTGTTTGGAAACAGTCGAGAGTAAACAAACAGTATTATTTTTTTTAGGCTAGGTTTACGGAAAAATTGTAAGAGAAAAAATCGTAAATTTTAAATGGAATGACTTAATTCTGTTGCGAATTTCATTTCGACAAATTAACTGTTGTTCGGAAAAATAGTGAATATCGCCATTACGACTCCGTTCCCACGGGTCTACGAAATCCGAAAGCCTCTCATTTATATCCGACAAGCTTTTTTAAGCATTGAATATTTCCTGATCCCACACATTTACCACAAGTATTACTCTGCGAAACTCCCTTAAGCTCTGAGTTTCGAGGGTCTTTTAGCTAATTAAAAACATGTCTGGTACATTTTCTGGGCTTGAAAAAATAAAATAAAAATTAAAAATTAATTAAATGTATTCTTATTTTATTTTGTGTAATCGGAATATGCATATTTCTTTAACTAATTGTTGGAATACGAGCACAATAGCTCTTCAGAAATATAACCTAAATGTTTACCTTTACTTGTCGGAATCCTCAGCAACGGCCTCCAAAAAAATTGGCGTGTACATTTGCTAAAATAACATATTTTTATTCATGTATTGCCTTTTGTAAAACTTTTTCACACCTTACTGTAACTTAATTCTGTGTACAATACGGTCCAAAACAAAAAAATATTCCAACCCTTGGCACACTCTGCGAAATTACTGGTAACTTATTCGTTATTGATTTCCCACTTTCATGCAATAGGTTGGTGTAGTATGTCCCCTCACGCCCCTCACATGTTTGTAAGTTCAATTTTATTTTCGCACATTTCATTCATACGCTTATTTCATATCGCTTTCTCAATATTCATACTAATCATAACCATTTCGCACACATTGTCGCTTCGGCACACAGTACAGTTATTTGCTGAACCTTTTACTATTATGTTCATCATCGTATTCTTATACACTCCCACACACACAGCATCACCGGGTGGCGGCGAGCCGAACAACACCGTGAAGACATCCACCGCTACCATAACACTGAAATCAGCCACATTGCCGCGCCGTAAACCGAGCGCCAAAACGGAAATCCAATTAGAAATAAAGCCACGTATTGTCGAACAACCGAATATGCGTTTCACAACGGAAATGCAGCATCCTGTCGCCGATTTGCGCAGCGCGCCGCCGCGTGAGGGTCCGGCGCCCTACAGTCCCATCAAGACGATGTTGAATGCGCGCGCCACAAGTCTTGAACCTAAGGAGCACATTATACCCATACAGCGCCCGCAAGTGCCCTATGCGCGCACAACATCCAATACAACAACAAGGTGAGTGCCAGCTAAGCTACAACAAATTTTTGTTGTTGCCTGCTAAAACGGCGTTTTTGCTTTAAGGTCCGGTTCACTATCGCGACAATCGACCAATGATTCTGAATCTGATACAACAACAACGGCAAATATGTCACAATCCACCGTTACGGGCTCATCACAACCGATTAAGAAGAGTCCACGTGAATTCATTATACCAATTGCGATGGAGGGCGGTGGCTTCATAACACCGCGCGAGGGCAGCATTGAACCATCAGAGTCTAGTCATACCGCCTCGAGTCGTTCGACCTTCAATCGACTGCGACCAACTCGTCGCATTGGGTATGTTTAGCAATAAGTTGTCGTGTTTAAATGTATGCGTGTACTAAGCGCTTTATTTGCAGCAGTTCACTGCTTAACGATTCTGGCATCGACGATAATTCGCCATTCCAGAAGTTCCGCACCTCGTCCGGCACCAGGGAGGTCGATGAGGAGCCACGTTTCACGCTGCACAGGTTAAGGTAGATGCACACGCACGTTTGCGACACTTAAATGTGGCGAATAATTTACTCTTTCTTTTCTTCATGGCAATATGTAGAAGCTCTAGACCGGTGAAGAAACTTAGTCAGGAGAATGATTCACAAAGTTCCGGCGAAGAAGATGACGATGATGGCTTTGAAATTCTCACCGCTGAAAATCTCTTCTCCACGCTACTACAACGAGTACATTGCTCCCATTTGAAACATTATGAACTATCTACTAAATAATTTTTTTTGTTGCTTTTTTTTTTTTCTACTTCAACCACGCTTAGGTGCACGCTTTGACACATCGCATGAATGTCGATAAAGATTTAACTGCAGGCTTTTCGAATTCAGGCCGTCTGCTGAGCAATATGCGGCATGGTCCCTTCTGGAATCAAGAACCTTTTGGCAGGTGAGTTCGCCGCGAGTTGTATTTTGTATTTTAAGGTTATGTTTCTTTTTTTGTGTAAATAACTAATTTCTCTTGCATAATTAAATCGACAATTATATTAAACCTTTTCATACTTATTTCTGTTTTCATGCTGCGTGTGCTTTTGGCTAAAAAAATAACTACCAAATGACTCAAATGCAACAAAAACAAATGTTTTTTGCCCATATAACAATAACAATAATAACCATATTAAATTGCATCGAATTGAGAAAAAATAAACGACATACATATACATATGTATATGTGGCTGAAAATGTCAAATTTTTTTTTGTTGAATTTTACAACAAAAAAAAAAAAAAACCAACACATTGTTTAATTTTATGTTAAGATCTCAAGTGAGTTATACATACAGTGAAACGGTCGAAAAGAAACAAGTGTAAGTATAAGTAGAATCAAATATAAGTAGAATCAAAATTTTTTTTACTTTTAGTTTGCACTACTCCGTTAGTCCTTTATAATTTTTTTCTCTCATTCTATCTATCTTTAAGGGCTAATCTACTTGTTAGTAAATTTTGGCTTCCCATCAATGCTTAAGACTTATTAATTTTTTCATTTTCCGTTCCCACGACAGTCGGGTCTACGAAATCCAGAACGGACCCGGACTGTCAACTCGGCAGAATTCTGCCGTTCCAACAACAACAACAATTTATTTATTTTACCGTTCCCACGACAGTCGTATATAAGTATATAAGTAAACTGAACGGACCCAGAATTTTATCTAGCCGATAATTGCTTCATAAATGTTTTCTGCCGCTGCAACAACAACTTATTTTTTTTTTAATTCCGTTTTTATTTAAAAAATGTTTTGTTTGCATTTTCAACGAGTATATAAACTCATGGCGTAATAAAAACCGTTTACTCATCAATAATCAATAATTTTCCGCTTTTGAAGAACGAATTTCAAAATTAAATTAAATTAGGAAATATTTATTTTCATAAAAAGTCGAAAAAGAAAGTGTTTTATTAATTCATAAATCGTTCAGAAGTTTCGACACGTGACGCCTGTAACTCAAAAAGAGTTAGAGTTTGTTGTAGAAATAAAACTCTCAAAACAGAAAAGAATTTCAGAAAATTGAAAATCTTTGACAGGTACTAATCACGTCGTTTCGAAACCAAAATATCGAAATCATATTTTCCAAACTTACAAATCATAAAAAGTTCCTACGTGAACCTCATTTTATACCGATAACTTGAAAATCCATTTAAACCTTTGATATTTTGATCTCGTGCAGCCAAATTTTTTATGCCCCAATTATCCACTGCGGATTATTTCGATATTTTTTGACATTTTATTTATCAAAACCTGCTCTCGGGAACTTTCGTACCATTAAGACGACATTTTATTCCTTGAAACCGTATTTTTTAATCTTATTTCTATTTTTTGGACATTTTTTTATTATTTGTCGACATTCTATTTCTCAAATCTTTTCTTTCAACCGTTTTAGCACTATTTCTCGCCATATTTTTCTCAAAACTTTTATATAGTTTTATATTTCGATCGTTTTTGAAGTATTTCTCGTCATATTTTTCTCAAACCTTTTATATCTTTCTATAGTTTTCAACATTTAATTTCTTAAAGCATTCCTTCCAACTGTTTTTGAACTATTTCTCAACATAGTTTTTTGAAAACTTTTTTTATATTTCTTTTTATTTCGCAACATATTTTTCTCAAAAGTTCTTTACACCATTTTTCTACTATATTTTTCGACATTTTACTTCTCAAAACTTTTCGACCGTTTTTTTTTTTCGATATTTCCTTTCTAAAAATCATTTTACAACTATATTCTCGACATTTTAGTTCTCTAATTTTTCGTTTCGATAATTTTTCAAGTTTCTCAAATCAATTCTTGTCTATTCGTTTTTCAACTGTGTGACTTTCGTTTTTGTAATAGTTAGTTTCTCGTCCTTCTACGTTTCTACGCATGCCTTGTCTTCCACAGTATAAATCCATCATTGTATTATGCTTCTATAACGTCTATTTAAAGGTTATAATTTATGAAATCTCTTTTTTTTTTATTATTTTCTCAATTGCTATAGATCGATTTCGATTAGGCAACGAGTTAGGAGGGGTCTTGTCCGTTTTAAACGTTTAGTTAGATTTTTATTCAAGTTCAAATCACTTTGCTGCTTGTAAGTTGAAAAAATATACATATATGCCTGAAATGTGTTTGTTTTCATATAGTGATCTAGATAAGTAAATGTTCAGTAAGCGCCGGTCATAGACCCCTATGTAAACTGACTACAAAGTCAATAAATATTTTGGAGAGTAGTGGCGTTTATATGTATATGCATGAACTAGTTTCTCAGTTTTTGAGATATTGATAAAAAAAAATTGCACACGTCCAAGAAACTGCTCATTTGGCGGAACTGCCCATATCGGACCACTTTAACATATACCATAGCTGGCATACAAACTGAATGATCAATCATCAAGTTCTTGTATGGAAAACTTTTTCATTTGATAGGATATCTGCACGACATTTTCTTTGGATTATTGTCGAAGACAACGCTACAATTTCCGAAGAAATTGTTCTACTCAGACCACTAGAGCATATAACAGCTTAATAGAATAGTCCCCGGCTTACCATAGGAGTCGCCAAACCGAGCCCTGAGGGCTCCTTTTCTACCCATATAACGGCGAGGAAGCTGTGGGTGAGAAGAAGCCGTTGAAAGAGAGGCGGGTTTCTTTATGAATGAGTCAAAGCTTGGGGAGAAGGTTGGTGCAGGAAATTACTGTCAGGAGCTCAACTCCAGCCGTTAGGGTAAACATTATATATACTGCTTGGGAGTGCAGCCTCCTTCAGAGAAGTGACCATTAACATAGATAACAGGGCGGCGATACTAGCCTTGAACTCATTAACAGTGTTTTCAGGGTTGGTAAGGGTCACTAGCAATAGCTTCGAGTCTCTTTGTGATAAAACTGGTATTGGTGCTCGGTCGCAGGAAATTGTAAAGCTGATGAGCTAGCAAGGAGAAGCACCCTATCAGTAGATTGAGAACGGGTCGGTGTTCCCGTATCCTCTTGTGTTCTACGTCAAGATAGTGAGTTTCGCGGAAGTTTGGCCAGCGCTATTCCACCGGTACAAGTGAAGAGGTAGTCGGTGCCACCAAAGTTAACAATTTTTTTCGTTTAGTTTATTATTAAAATTGGATTTTCTATTCATATAAAACTCAAATGCCACTTAATCTACTCACAAAAATTATACGTAAACCTGCAATGAACTAACACAATTGCTTCGCCCAACCTTATATTAAACTTATTTCAACTCTACGCATTCTCAACTTTTCAGCACTTTTTGTATTTTCACCTAATGTAAATTTAAATGTAAATTTCTCTAACTTTTTGCTTTGTTTATCTCTCTTTCGTCTTGCAGCCGCCTCAACAGCGCCTCCGGCAATAATGTGGGCGCACCATGGCGTCATAGCATGTCACGTGATTTGGGCAACGACATGGACTCCATATTTTCACGCACTGGCGCTACACTGCCAAGAGGTGAATATCACAGATTAAAGAGTAAATTTTTAGATCAATAAACAATGAAAGTAAATAATTTACAAAAAGTTAAAACTCAGTAACGCAGTATAAACAAAAGCAAGTCAGGCAACGTACACAGTGTGTTGAAAGCAAAAACAAAAAAATTAAATATGATAACAACAAACACAGTAAAAGAATAAGCAATTCTAAGCAATAAATAAAAAGTAACCTACTACTACTACTACTACATATATACTATATTAGCGAATAGTGCACTGCAAAGCAGATGAAAATGCAAATGCAAGAAACGTTAGTGAGCCAAGCAATCAAATGTATGTAGTTGTGTTGTTAGTTCGATGTTGATTAGCTATTTGCTATATATTTGCGCTAGTTTGCCAACACGGTAGTGAAAAGAATGCAAAACTAAAACAAAAATACACACACATGCTATTTTTTTGTTGTAGTGTGCCAGCGTAAATAATGTTCTAGTTAAAATTGTTTAGTAAATGGCAAATAAAATAAAGTAATTAAATTATGAAAAACGTTTAAGCGTGCAAGTGGCCTAAAGTAAAGAAATCGTATACTTATATGTGACCTGGTCTACGAAAAGGGAGCTAACGTGCGAAAACTAGTTTTCTGGGAAACAGCTGTTAAAAAAAAAAAGCATCTCATCTTCCATCCGAATCAACTAAAAAGTGAAAATTGATTTTTTGACACCTAAGCCCCCTTTCCGTAGACCAGGTCACATATATGGAACTTGTGCAATTATGTTTTTTTGCCACTTTGGCTAACAAAAAAAAAAAAAAAACAAAAAAAAAGAAATCACGTGACAGCCAACTTGCAGTGCTTTCATTTATGAATTATTGTTTTTTTTTTGCTGAATATAATTTAATTTTGAGACAATTAAAAATCAATTTAAGCAATAAGCGAATCTAATTGAAGTAGCACGAAAGTAAGCGAATCAAATTTTTTTTTTTAATTTTTTTATTTATTTTTGTAATAATTTTTTTCTAAGAGTACTAAATTTTTTACAATTTCTTTTTAGAATTTTTATATATTTTTTATGAATCCCCAATTTAAAATTTTTTTTTTTTAAATTTAATTTAAATTTTTTTTTAAATTTTTTTAAATTTTTTTTTTAAATATTTCTATTTTAGTTTTATTTCTTTTTACATTTTTTAAATATTTTTTTAAGTTTTTAATACATTTTTTATAATTTTTATGGACATTTTTTTATAAATTTTATACATTTTTAGTTAGTGTGCCACACTTAAACAATTTTTTGTTATCAAATTGTCGCTTGAAAGGAAAAAGAATTTGCCATTACAAAAACAAAAACAAAGAAATAGTTTAGCGTTCTGAAACTACCAAAAGCCAACTTGTTGCATATTCGATTTTTTTTTAATAATAACTATAGAAAATATATATTTTTGTTTCAATAATATTTCTTTAATTAGCACAGCAGTTGTTACTTTTGTGTGGTTTAGCTATAATTTGAACTACAGTTATTCACGTAGTAATTGTAAATGTGTAACACGCCCACAAATGGTTATTAATTCAAATTTCTCTATAAAAATATGTTGAATTTTCTATTATAATTGAATTGAAGATTGTTTCTTATTTGCTTCTGACTTTTATGTTTTTATATTTATTTGACATTTCTACATAAAAATCAAAGCACCGTTTTCGTTACTTTACTCTACTACTATTTTACTATTTTTTCTTCTACCGCCTGTTTCTTAATACTGTTTAAACAATTTTGTAGTTAACTGTTAAGGAAATAAAACCTCGTATTCAAAGTTTTGTACAGCAAGTGAGTGAACATTTTAGTGAGCGGAAATGTGGCCCTGAAAGTGCCATAGTGCGGAGTTTGAGTATCGAAGGTTTGGTTGCTGAGGTGTGGTGTGCTAAGCGGAAAGGTGATGTTAGAGTGATTTTAGTTTTTTTTTATGCATGAAATAGTAAAATTAAATGAAATTATTAATTTATTTACATTATTTAATGCTTGGAAAAATTGTGTGTCATTTAAACTACTTTTATTTATAATATTTTGAAATATTATTTTAAGTC